GACTCGATGGCACCTGACAACAACAACAATTTTTATATTATTAGTATTAATTTATGAATCCATATTCAGTTTTTTAAAATGTACCTAAATATTATGGCATCATACTATAATATTGCCTGGCAAAGATTGTGTTTTACTAAAATATTATGTTTAAATTGTCTCTGAGAAGTACATACATCTATTTCCCAGATTTTACATGGTGTGTAATATTACTGAAGGAGGCTTATTCTAGGTGTCAACTTTTTATTTATATCATCATAGGAAAATTCTTGTTCCACTCTCTGTATTACACAATTGAGAATTCCCATGTTATATGTGGATGGAGCACAGTTGTTTGAGATGTAGAGTTAATGCATGACCAAATTTACTATTAATTGCCAACATTTGTTTATCAATAGAAAGTTAGACACAACTACATGTTCTTATTGTTCAGGTATGGAATCACTTGTCTGGTTTTCCTTCAATGATAGAGTCACATGGAAATTACCATCTTGTAAATGAAACATGGTATTCTTGGTTTAGTGATGTTGGATAAGCCCAACAATGTCTTACTGTTGAGGTCAGCAGTTGAAATTCACCAATTGTTCCTAGGAAACCCTATACAGGGGTGCATAAGTCAGAACCAATTTGACCGCACTTAAAAACAACATTTCTCTAATTTCCTAAGGATTCAGCAAAATGCATTATTATTCCTAGAGAACCATACAATCCACAGGATTCATGCTATAAAGTTCCCAATAAACATTTGAATATTTGGCCCAGTTTTTGAATTCACAGATGAACTCACCGAACTGTAAGATAAGTCATCAATGGCCCTGTGTTCATTCGTTCATCTGAAAAGAAACATAATCATTCAGCTCTGGTTATGGAGACAGAATCCTAGAATAAGAATCAGGAGAGCCAAGTCCAATTCTCATATATTTTGTGTGTTAACTTGAAGTGTATGCATAACTCTCAACTTTTCTTACTTAGAAAAGAATAATATTCACCACAAGGATTCATGTAGCAGCTAACAATGGGTTGGTACTTAAATACCTGGACATTGGTTTTTAATCAGAATTTGAATCAATGAAAGCAATCAGTTTATTGTTGAAAAATAGTAAAATTAACTTTTCCCTATTTTTCTGCTTTTCGTTTTGATG